ATCAGACATGCTCTAAAACTTGTTGGCTCTGCCAAGTTCTAGGCTTTGATCCCCAGAATCCAACTTAAAGGGGAACCTTCCAAGCCCAGGGATTGCACCAAAGAATCATGGGATACTATTGTTTATGTTGTTTACAAAGTTAATCCATTATTTGTTATCCATTGTATATTTAATCCAGAAAGTAAATTTGATGTGAGATTAGGCTTAACTGGAAGTGCCCCTTGTGTTAGCTTGTGTTAGAATTTAACAAACAATGTATTTTACATGCATTATATATGTCGGTATAAGTCGTATATCGGAACACAGCGTAGCGTGATGATGACGACCACCAGTATCTTTTAAATAGTTTAGACAGCTTCAACCTTAGATTTCTGTGATAGTAGTAAATCTGCATATTGGAATAATTATTCTCATCAGAGACTGTCATGTTCATTTCAGACTATATGTAGTGACTGAACAGTGGCTGGTGGATAGTTATAATCAAGGCAAGAAGCTAGAAGAGAAGGACTATGAGTGTTTTGATACATCCAGGTAAGGGCATGGTGTATGTGCTCTTTTCAAAGCACTATGTTAATATGTTAGGGTCGTCACCTGCACATGCGCTGGAATTTTGTCCCAAGCGACGATAACAACACATGCTAAAATTTCAAAGACTCATGGGTAGACACTTGTTTGTAAACAATGACACGCTATGGCCATCTGACGCATGCGCAGGTGACGACTCCTCCGCTTTATACAGGCTGTGCCATTTAGCTACTATTATATCTTGCTTTTAAAACTACTTTACATATCTCTTAATTGTACAATGTATTACTACCATTTGTTTGTAAAAATATACTGTAAAATATTTTATTTTTGCTATTTTCGTTGAATTGAAGACGGTAGTTCACTTGAATACATCTCGTATTAGTAGCACTTGTTTGTTATATTTATGAAATCTTACGAAAATATACTGTAAAATACTTGTAATTTATTTTATGAAATCCAGCGAATATGCCTTTTTTCCATGGTAACCAACTGTTGGCTCCAGATGTGCATGGAGAATTAGGCGTTCCAGTCGACAGTAAATTTTATACAAAACACCTTGAAAAAGTCATTTCACTTTTCAGTGAAATTAATTCTTGTTAAAATAAAGTATTTTTCAGTAACTGACAACTGGTAGAACGTGGTGCATAAAAGATATCAAATATTGAAAACATGAACAGACAATGAGAACATTTTCAACGACCGTGTTGACACTCTGATGATCAATGACAACTGTCCTGATGATTTACAGTGCTTGTGCTGCTTTAAAATTAATCCCTTGAAGTACCAAATTTGTTGGTGCCTCACTGTGCATGTATCATGTTGCATATGTTGAAGAATTTTTTTTTTTAAATTTCTTTAATTTTGAGCAAAACTAACTAATTTATTATAATTTGGTTACAAAATTTATAACATTTAACAAATTGGAAAATAAACATGTAGCTGTCTAAGTGATTTTTGCATGAAATCAACAATTTCTTATATAAAACAACATACTCTCTTAAACATATTTTGCACAGGTAAATAAATTTTTGTTTTTGTTTTTGCAGTCTTGACCAGGATGAAGAACACATGAATTCTAGCGTTGTACAGAAAAAAACGAATGAAGTCAAAGAGAAGAGAAGTGCAAAAGAAGACATTGACATTACCTGTGTTGAAGACGATGATACCACGCTGATGGAAATGTACCTACCTCAGAATACAGATGAAGGTAAAGGCATACAACCAGTGGCTGGATTCTGTTGCTACTTCACCGCACTTTTGCATCGAATTTGTGTGATGTTCCGTTCGCTATATGATACCTAGATTATCCTGCAAGATAGAGAACTCGTAGCAACGCATATGATTCGTATAAAATACATTGTTTATGAAAAAAATTGAATACGTGCTGTGTGACGACCACTACCCTTTAATAAAATCTGCCGCGCTAATAATCGAACATCACTAAGTAGATCTGAAGCTTTATTGGGATTCAGTTTTCATCTTCGTAACTCATTGAGTGCCATTTTTTTACCGCTGCCCAAAATTAGTGTAAATTTGTTCACATTTTCTGTAACTTTCACTGAATTCAGTTTTAATTTTGAACCAAACAGACTATATATGACAAAACTTCTAGTTTTTGACCGAAAAATTTGATAATTTTATGCTGAAAAGAATAAACAATATATCAAACTATTGACTTTGGTGCTCAAAGGGTTTCGGTCTAATGCCACAATTACTCACTGAATTCTCTGTTCAACATTTGAAGACAACTATATTATCTTCTGAGCATATATATTTCTTCATTTATTTATTCAGAGCAAATTCCACATCCTGAACAAAATGCTGATGCTGATGTCACTTTGGAACATGTCCCTATGACAACAAAGGATGGAGAAGACGATGATGTGACTTTTAAAAACCTTCCAGATAATAATGATCCAGATGATGGAGATGAAACGATGGAGCCCGGTGGAGGAGAGGAGGTTAAAGATGAAGAAGAAGAACAGGAAGAAGAAATAATGGAAGGTGGAATGTTCAGTGGGAAGAGTTTTATTATAGATGGTTTTCCTGAAGAACAAACTGCTGTCTGTGTGGAACTAGTGGAGCAGATGGGAGGTGAGTAAAGTGATACACTGTAGCCTCGCTATAACGAACTCTTTGGGGGACATACAATTAGTTTGTTTATTGAAATATTCACTATAATGAAGTACATAATACATTGGGTTTGTTGTGAGCGGAAGACACGCTATGTGTTCATTATATCAGGAAGTTCATTATAACGGTGTTCATTATATCAGGAAGTTCATTATAACGGTGTTCATTATATCAGGAAGTTCATTATAACGGTGTTCATTATATCAGGAAGTTCATTATAATGGTGTTCATTATATCAGAAAGTTCATTATAACGGTGTTCATTATATCAGGAAGTTCATTATAACGGTGTTCATTATATCAGGAAGTTCATTATAACGGTGTTCATTATATCAGGAAGTTCATTATAACGGTGTTCATTATATCAGGAAGTTCATTATAACGGTGTTCATTATATCAGGAAGTTCATTATAACGGTGTTCATTATATCAGGAAGTTCATTATAACGGTGTTCATTATATCAGGACGTTCATTATAACGGTGTTCATTATATCAGGACGTTCATTATAACGGTGTTCATTATATCAGGAAGTTCATTATAACGGTGTTCATTATATCAGGAAGTTCATTATAACGGTGTTCATTATATCAGGAAGTTCATTATAACGGTGTTCATTATATCAGGAAGTTCATTATAACGGTGTTCATTATATCAGGAAGTTCATTATAACGGTGTTCATTATATCAGGAAGTTCATTATAACGGTGTTCATTATATCAGGAAGTTCATTATAACGGTGTTCATTATATCAGGAAGTTCATTATAACGGTGTTCATTATCTCAGGAAGTTCATTATAACGGTGTTCATTATATCAGGAAGTTCATTATAACGGTGTTCATTATACTGAGGTTACAGTGTAGTGTGTTTACTCAGTTACCTTAAAAACAATTTTAGATTCAGATTTGTAAGATCAAACTTTTTGTAATTTCAGTTTTTAAATTTTGCTATATCAGTCTAATTTCAACTTTTTAACTGTTTAATCAGTAATTTGATTTTTTTCAATCATTACTCACCAACAAAAATAACTAATTGGATTTTTTTTCAATCATTACTCACCCATAAAAATAAATTCTAAGTTTTATACCAGTTACTGTAGATGAATTTATGTTTGAAATTCTTTTCCTCTTGAGAAATTAGTTGATGTTATAATTCAGTGAAAATACATTTGCATACAGATCATCAGGAATAAGGTTTGTCATGGTCATAAACTCTTACTGAATATAGAACTGACGGAATCAAAGAGTGCTTTACAGATGGACCTCTCAGATTTGTTTAGATCTCCAATTCTCTGATTTTGATGAATATTTTTGTCATTTTCGACACAAAGTGATACTTTTGACTTCTTGTTGAATGTCACTTTTGGCACTTGTTTTTCAAAAAAATTTCCGTAGACCTCAATCCCCCCCCCTCCCATTTTTGATATCCTGATAGGATGAATCCATAATACTGAACATGACGTGTTCATTAATTCGGTTCATACTTACTTAACTACTATTATTCTGTCATATACAATCATGGATATTTGTTGAATATGATATGATTTTGATTTTATTTCATGAATTGGGCAAGAATTAAACAAAATCCTCCTCTAAAAGTTGATAAGGCGGCACATGTTTTAAACAGACATGCAAGTCTTCAAAATTACTGTCATTCACACGTTTATTTAATAGGTAGGTGTTAGTTAGCAGTATGCCCTCTTGAGGCGGAAAATGGTAGGTTGTTACCACATTTGGTAATATGATAGATGGACAAATAATTCAAATTACATTTCCCATGATGCATTGGTGTAATCTCTAGGATTGCATAGCCACGCTTAAAATCTGTCGGAAATTAGTTTGATTTGTGTGAATGAACATTCAAACATGTTTTACCATATCTTGTGTTGTCTCTGCAGGCAAAGTGAAAACAGATATTTCCCATGATCCTGCTGACTACTGTATTGTCCCAACCATTGGTAACTATGACAACCTGGATGGGACTACCATGGTAACCAACTGTTGGCTCCAGATGTGCATGGAGAATGAGGAGTTCCTTCCAGTCGACAGTAACGAGTTTTTCACACCGATAGCTATTCCCGATGATTGTCACCCACTTGACGGCTGTGTCCTGTCAATCAGGTAAACTTGTGTCATGCAGTCAGTTATACAAAATGACGACATGACCATTCTGTTTCCTCTAATCTATTTCAATACGTGATTTTACGTTCAACTGCGAGATCTCGCGAGTTGTGTGAAAGACACCTGCCACAAAAATCGAACAATTTGATTTTGAACTCAGATTTCTTTATCTTGCAGCTCACATCGAAAGGCTGATCTTTGACAGGGGAATTTTGCGTTTGAATACCCTTACTTCATTGAAATTTACCAACATCAAATGTGTACAGCACATCATTAAGTGTGGAAATATCCCCCAAAATACTTTTGCATTTGCATGAATCTCATGCGATGTTTGTCGCCACTATGACGTTATGACCTTTGTTTGTCCTGTTTTTACATTCGATTTCACGCACAACGTGAGATCTAGCAGTCTATATTAAAGTACGTCAGTGGTCTCACACACAAAGAGAAATTTCATTTCAACATCAAGATTTTATTTTTCATCGTGTGAACAGTTCCAAACTGTTTGATACAAGTCTTTTGATTCAACTGAAAAAAAAGTGACGATCAGTTTTATCTGCATGGAATCTTTGCAATTTGACGCCTTCTTGGTATTCATGGAAACTAAATTTGCAAAAGTCACTTATACTTGTAGGATTTCTAAAGAAAATTTCTCTGCTACATAATTTTTTCACAAATTTGCAAATTCACAAAAATTTATTTGGTGATACACTGTAACCTCAATATAATGAACACCGTTATAATGAACTTCCTGATATAATGAACACATACATGTAGCATGTCTCCCGCTCACAACAAACCCAATGTATTGTGTGCTTCATTATAGTGAACATTTCACTATAACAAACTATTTGTATGTCCCCCGAAGAGTTCGTTATAGCGAGGTTACAGTGTATTAAGCCAATTTACTGTATTTGTTTCTGGGCTGTACTGTGCAGCTACGATTTTTACATGATTTTATAGCTAGCTACTGTAAATTAATTAATTACACGAACTCATTGTTTCCTTGACAAATTTGTGAACTTAAAACCCCAGGGAATATGCTCAAAATTTGTATATATATATGGTCTTTATTTATAATAGAATATATAAATTATGGCCATCGGTCCATAATATCTACATACATTATTTAAATTTGAAAATAAAATTACAATTTTTTAAACACTTGACAATACTTGTAGCTCTTTTCGCAATTTCATTGCGTGAAAAGTAAAGGCTCCCAGTTTTTTAAGGAGATCTGTATTTTTTGTACTATATAGGTAAATTGTAAGCTGGGTCTTGTAGTGATCTCAATATGAATGGTTTGTTAGACCAGGTGTCCTTACTATTATGTAAAATTTCAAAATAGTGAAGTTAAGACAGAAAAGATTTATCACAGTAAATCATTAATAAATTGGGGTGTGATGATTTACATTCATGCAAGTCATTCCTTTTTGTAGTTTTTAAAGAGAAAGGAGAATGTGCTTTTAAAGAAACATGTGCAAAATAATCAAAACAGCCATTTTGGAACATTTTCCGCAGGAATTTATCAAATCAAATCATCAAATCAAATATTTTATTTTACCTAATAATGTACACTTGTAGTTTACAAAACAAGAATCAATTATAAATAGGTAAAATAGGAACCAGAAATAGCCGTTGGCTAATCTAGTCTGATTCCTCAAAAAACAAAATGAATTACACTATCTTTGAGGGTGAGTTATAATAATCTGAACCTGTAAATGAAGCTAATAATAATAATAATAATAATAATTATTATTATTGTTATTATTATTCAATTCATTTTTCTTTCATTTTTAACTTAAATAATTTCTTTGAGGTAAGGTCCTTTATTCTGTGGTAGCTGGTTCAAGAGATTGGGGCCAGTATTTTTAATAGAACGCTGACCTACATTAATACGGTACTTTGGAATTATTAAATTTCCTTTGGTTTGAAACCTAGTATAAGTTTTGGGTACATGTTGAAAGAGTTGGGATATAGAATTAGGAAAATGTCCATGAATACTATCAAAAACGAAAAGGGCTAATTGGAACTGGTGTTGTTTGTAAATACATTATTCTATACATTATTCTATGGATAACTAATCCATTTCTCCACTTTTCAAAATTCTTCATTTTTTGTAGCAGCCATATGTAGCCCTCTTAATACTACATATCATCTTTTTATCATAAGTCAAGGAACAAAATTTTGAATGTTTCTGCTATAGGAACCAATTGTAATCTACTGGAAACATGCATTTTTGCTCAGTTTTCAAGGTTGTTTTGTGGAAAACTTAGTTACAGGAACTCCTCTTGCTGGATAAATGGTTTTACAGTATATGAAATTCTATAAGCAACGATGGTTATTATTTTTTTACAGCCAGTTTGCAGGGACCGAACGTGAATGTCTGTTTCATATCTGTGAATACCTTGGTGCTGTGGTTCAAGACTATTTTGTTCGTAAGGCACGCAAAGGCGTACTGGCAAACACTCATCTCATTCTACAAGAACCGCAAGGTAGCAAATACGAGGGCGCCCTCAAGTGGAAACTACCGACCGTTAGTAAAGGGTAATGTTTATATTTAAATGCATAGGCTTCTGCTTCTAAAAACAGCTACTGTAAGATACTTTATTTTGGCTGGAATTAATTTTCGCTGAAAAGACTTTTCGAATGGAATTTATTTTCACTGATTTTTGATGAGTTGAGTGTGAAATATAGGAAAAAAGGTATATTCGCTGGATTTTATTTTCACTGAATCATTCCTGCAGCGAAAAATAGTGAAAAATTAATTCTAAGCGAAAATAAAGCATTTTACAGTAATATAATCTAACATGTTGGGAAGTCAGTCTTTTTAACTGAAAGTACCGTGTATTACTCGCTGCTCTGTTTACAACCGATGATATACCAACTCAAGTTGGCAATGTAAACTGTATACTATTCGTTGAACAAAATGAAATGAATCATGATGTCCTTTGAAGACACCCAGTAAGGTTGCTATACATAAGCAAGGCCATTTAAACTACATTTCCCACAATGCACTGGCGCAATCCCCTACACTGTAGAGCTATAGTTTAAAGTGAGAGGGTCGTCACATGCGCACGCTCGGGAATTGAGTCCCAAGCGATGATAACAACACACGCTAAGAACGCAAAGGCTCATGGGTAGATGCTTGTTTGTAAATAATGACCTGCTATGGCCATCTGACGCATGCGTAGGTGACGACTCCCCCCGCTTTAACTTTATATAGTATACAGAAATTTCATGGCCAGCTTGTAGTGAATTACTTGATTCAAGTAAAGCTTAAATTTGTGTGCAGTATTATTCCTGTTTTTACATATTTTTTCTACAATTTTGTTTCATCATTTTGGACCAAATGAACAAAATTCCTTATTGATTACAGGTTTGGAACATAATGTTTAGAAAAATCGGTGAAAAATATAACATACTGTAAAAGGGTTTTAATTTTGCTTATTCCGCTGGAAAATGTGCTGAATTAAAACCCAGTGAATATGTGAAATTTAGCATAGAACACATTATCTAAATGATAAAACCGTGAAATTAAAACCCACTGAATATGCCTGAAATGGTAAATCAGTGAAATTTAAACCCAGTGAAAATTAGTCACTTTACAGTATTTTATTTTATGAATGATGTGAAAGTTGACTTTTGTGTACAAAGGGTTGACCTTTGACCTCTGTTTTTTTTTTTTTTTTTTTATTTCAGATGGATATTGGAGTGTGCCAGAGTTGGTGAGAGGGTGTCAGAAGCGGATTACATTGTGGGGGACGCTAGAGGAAATATAAAAACTAGGACAGAAAAAAAAAATATGAATGCAAGCGCAGTGGAAAAAACAAAACCATCGATGGCTGTGAATGATGACGTAAAAATGACTTCTGAACCGAGTGCTGATGTAGATGGTATGAGTTGTGAGGCGATGAACACGAACGCAGATGTCGAGGGTGTGAGTGATGAGGCGGCAGTGAATGCAGTTACTCTATCGGACCGTAGAAAGAGCGGCGTACATTGTGATTCAAACATGCAGGTCAACACGAACATGGATAAGAGTGTAGTCTCACAGAATACTGATATAAGTAATACGGCACATTTTAGTAAATCGCGAATTATTGTTCAGGACAATGACAATGGTGTCACAGAGCCAACTCCCCAGGATGTGAAAATGTCCGACGACACTCAACAAGAAACTGTTTCACACAGGGCAAAGACTCCTGTTGTCGCTCCTGTGTCGTTTGGTAGTGCCACTTTGCTGTGTAAAAACGACTTCAGACCTTCTTTTGATTTAGTATGTATAGATACACCTCCGGGACAGAAAGCGAAAAGTCAACGTCGACGAAAATCCAGTCTGGTGAGTATTAGGCCATTCCAGTTGCTATCTGCTCCCCTCTGTGTTTTTACAGCTTTTTCACAAATAGACATAGCATTTGTCCACACCTGTATATATCGTACTCGACAGCGTTAGCGCCCATGCCCAGGCAAGCGCCCACCCCCCAATTTTGCGCAATTTTTATATTCGGGGTTACATTCGGCAAAGCGCCCACTCCTTCAAAATGCAACTAATTTAAAACTTGGTCTTGCGTAACGAATCTTGGTAATCGTTTTTATATGATACAGCGTGGATATCGACCACTGTGAATATGTTGTGAATGCGTAGATCACGGTAACTGTGCATATACTACGCTTCGACAATGACAAGTAAAATGCGGTAAATATTTCATGCCATATTCAGTTTACATGTACCTCTCAAAAAAAAATAGTTACCAGTTTTATTTTTAAAAACCATGTTGTTTATTCACTGAAATCAATTCCAACAGATTGTACTTCGACATCGATAATTCACTTCCGCATTGCGTTACCAGAAAGTCGTCGGTACAACACAGCATTCTGATTGGTTAAAAACCAGCTTGACCTATTAGGTCAAAGGACGCTCCTGCAGGTCAAATCTGCAAATGCATCAGTGGAGATAATGATGAGAATTTTGACTTTGACTCTAATGTTTTTAATTTCGTAAATTCTGGTGGTACGTAATTAATTTTTTAATAAAATGTGCATATTTTTTGTGATCATTTCTGTTTCTTCATTTGTAAAAATCAATGAAGATGCAACTATTAAATTACGTAATTTGATTTTTCCTCAAAGACGTAATCTGTCACATGATGAATCAAAACTTTCATTTGCACTCTTTTTCGAGGGGGGTGCTTGGGTAAGCGCCCACTCCTAAAAAAATCATGATTTTCTGAGTTGAGGCCCCTGGGCGCTAACGCGGTCGAGTACGGTATATATAACCACGTGACCACATTGTGAATTGTACCACACCATCCTGATAATTTGGCTTATTGAGGCTACTAAGTTACTTTAAAAAATGTAAATGAAACACATGCAGGAAGTCCGAAGCGACGATAACAATGCATGCTAAAACGCAAATGCTCAAGGGTAGACGCTTATTTCTGAACAAAGACACAGAGTGGTTGTCTGTCACATGTGCAGGGGACGACTCACACAGTTTAAGCCTGAATTTCTGTTCATTTGCACACTTGTATTTCTTCGTTTACTTTACAATTTTGTTCCTACTCTGTTTTGTACATTGTATATTTTTATCTTGTTTTCCCTTCATCGTGTTTGCAGCCGCTGGATGTAATGTTTACAAATCAACTGAAACGTGCCCTGGAAAGAAGAACCAATGGGAAGACAGATGCTATAAATTATCACCATGACAACAATGATGACGATGATGATGAAGAAGTTTTTGTCAAACAAGTATGATACAAATTACTCTTTCTCTTTCAGTGATTTTTGCCCAGATAGTAGTTTGCGTAATTCAGAAAATATCTAAATTAGGCCAGACTTTTATTATCCCTTGTTTTGCGAACCCGCCGAATGAACAGGAGCTGAAAATGAAATAAAAATAAAATTTTATTTCAGAGTAATTTCTCGCACCCGCTGACTTGTTAGTGCAAAAAAATGCTAAAAAAATATTATTTTTATCTTCATTTTTTTACCGCCCACTGCATACCAAATCAAAGATGCATTTTCGTGGGAGTATCATGATCAAAGTACCGAAGTCTCACGCAGATGAGAAACAAGTTTATACATGGGATACAATTTTATTTCATTTCTTTTCTCCGATCACTGATCTCACTTTCAATTCTTTGAGAATCACATAAATGTAATGGAAAAAACGAATTAATTTAATTTTTTTTTCGCCCTCTTCTAAAAAATTGCCTTATAAAAACTCAAGAAACAAGGAATAAAAAAAAATCTGGCCTTAATAAAAAATGTGATCCTAAATTGCCTGAATACATACTTTTGCTTATATTTTTTCTCAGGAGAGAACTGGAGTTCTCAATGGTGTAATTATCTGTGTCAGTAGAAAACTAATTAAGAAACAAAATGAATACAATAACATAGCGGCTGCTCTGAATGCCGAATACTTATGGACGTACGACAGTAGGTGCACACACTTTATACACCAGGTGAGTGGATGGCGCCCTCTATCAGCTGCAATGAGCCATTTTCCAAACTTCTTGAGGTCCCATGTTATGCGTGAAGTCAACATAAAAACGGGACAAACAAAAATTATGTTGTCATAGTAACGTCGAAACATTGCATGGGATTCAACAAACTATTTTGGGGGCACTGTAAAATACTTTATTTTTGCTGGAATTAATTTTTCGCTGAAAAGACATTTGGGGTGTTATGTATGGAATTTATTTTCACTGATTTTTGACGAGTTGAATGTGAGACATAGAAAAAAAAGTATATTTGCTGGATTTTATTTTTACTGAAGCATCCCTTCCGCGAAAATAGCGAAAATAAAGTATTCTACAGTATTTTCAGGTGTAATAATGTGCTATACATATTTAATAATGGTCAATTTTGAATTAAGGATATCTCAACATCATATTTACCATTCTGAAAAATCAACATTGTGCTATATAAAAAAAAAATCAGTTTAAAATAGCAACAGACATCACTAGCTTTTACTTATAATTGTAAGATCTCATAGAAGTTTGTAAAATCTTTCATGAAATCTTTTATTGGAAATGTGTGGGTTTTTAATTCTTAATACTGCAAAGTGCTTTATTTTCGCTTGCAATTTATTTTTGCTATTTTCGCTGAATAGATGAATCAGTGAAAATAAAATACAGTGAATATACCTTTTTTCCTATATTTTACATTCATCTTAAATCATTGAAAATAAACTTAATACAAAACAATTAAACAGCCAAAAAAACATTTCAAAAAATGTCTATACCTATGTCTGCAGACTAGACTAGACTAGACTAGACTAGACTAGTTTGGAATTCAAATCGAGGCATATTAATCACCTAATTTGCATAACTTTCATCTTTTTTTTTATTTCCAGGGAAGGAGTAACGATACCAGTAAGGATTATAAGTTAGCCAAGGAACAAAAAAAACATATAGTGAGCCCTCACTGGCTGTCTGCGGTAAGTATTCATCACAACACTGGGCTTTCACTAGCCTTTTCACCACCAGTTCCCTCTTTTTATCACAAATTTAAAAAAAATAGTCCTGTTTATAGTTTGCACTTTCCTTCAAAAGATTTGGACAAAAAAAGCCATAAGCCAAAATTGTCTCAAATATTGTCTATCAGCTCCTAAATTATGGTTCATTTCCAGGAATATTGAAAAAAAGAAGAAAAAGATTGAATAAATCACAACAAAATAGCGACAGACATATTTATAAGATAAAACCCACATTAATTATTTCATAATTTTACCAACATTTTGATCAAGACATGTAGCAATTGTATCCAGAATTATCAAAGAAAACATTATAACCGCCCTGACGATATACCTACTACTCGCTCCTTAAAACTTAATCCCCCCACAGGTTCGGGGTACATTTATCTGTTAATCCCCACCATAGGTGTGAAAAGTTGCGTTGGGCTGGGCAGTGAACTAATAATCACTGATAGCATAGTTCAGAGACAAATATACCAAAATTAGCATATCACTAAGTAATTTACAAGGGGGCGCTATTTTAGGAAAAGTGTTAATATTTTTGGAGCGAGGATACCGTCGGCGAATGCGTAATGATAAGAGAAATAGGTTCCATCAAAATTTCCCCGGGAAAAAATTATGCTGCTCAAAGGGATAATTGAATGTTGTCTTTTTCTTTACAGTGCAAAGATGAAAACAAACACATTGATGAATCGCTTTATCCTCATACATACAACCCAAAAATGAGTCTGGTAAGTGATCTTGTAATTATATTATGAAAGCATCACTCTGATTGGTCAAGAAAGGGTCACATAGAGGGGAGTCATGAATAAATTATGCAAATTACCTATTCAGTCACTACTGATTGCATCCTTACAATTCCAGATTTACGTTTCAGTTGAACATGTGAATGTTTAAAACACCAAATTCTTTTTTGGGCACTATTAAAGGCCCTGTAGTTTTTTTTTCAACAAATTTTGTAAATTATGCCTATTTATTTTAAAACCCCAAAAAAACAAAATAGAAAAATATATGAAAATGGCAAAATGTTATAAATAAATAAAAAAATATGAAATGAAATGAAAAAATGAAGTTGTGATTCAGTGGTAACCAGTGTACTATATCTTATGAACGGGCGGGGGTCGTTGCACCACACATGCTCGACATTTGTGTTGATAACTATTCTGATGAGAACCAAGTTTGAAAATTGACCTGGGCGCTGTCTGTACTAATTGCTGCCAGAGACTCATTCAATACCTTCCGATCACCAATAAAAACACTTAACGTCTCAGTTTGTACTCGTTGATCTGTGCAACAGTCAAAGTCACCATCTTTGTTTATATGAGACCCATATATCTCGCGCATGCATGGCGCCCTTCAACTCATAGTAGTTGCTAACATAGGAAGCAATGCATGAAACTAAGCTTTGTTTACATGTTTACTTTGATTTAACACAGTATTTATCCTGTCATGTATTGTAGTCATGTAGTTACTTACTATATACCGATTGAATTGCACTTTTATATTTTACAGTCTGTAGTTAGCAAACAAAGAAGGTCTACCAGAGCCAGCATCAAAGCCGAGACCACATACTATAGTGACGATGACGACGATAACGCTGACGGCGGCAAGGAGGATTTACCACAAGGAGATACACTAGAAATACAACAAGACTTCAAGAGACAATTTGATGAAATAATGACATCTGCATTGTGAGTATTTCTAATTCTGTAAATGCATTAAAGCGAGAGGGTCGTCTACGTATGCGTGGGAATTAAGTCCTAAGCGACAATAACAACACAAGCTAAAAACACAAAGGTTCATGGGTAGACGCTTGTTTGTAAACAATGACATGCTATGGCCATCTGACATGTACAGGTAATGACTTCCTCGCTTTAATTATTCACTGATTTTTATTTTGCTATTTTCACTGATAAGTAAAATCTGCTAAATTATATCTATGTGAACATGTAAAATAGCAATAGAACTCATTATTTTTCTGGAGGATTCGTGAACTTAAAACCCAGTGAATACATTCAGCAAATGTTAACATGCTTGCTGCTCTGCATCTAAACACCTTAATATGCTAATAATGTGTATAACTTTCTAATAGACCATTTTCCGTACACTGCGAGAATCACGCGTTATGCGTGAAATCGAACGTAAAAACAGGACAAACAAAGGTCATAGCGTCGTAGTCGCGTCAAACATCGCGTGGGATTCGACAAACACGAAAGTATTTCGGGGACATTTCCATGCTTAATAATTTGCTGTCCACATTTGATGATAGGCAATTTTGATTAAGTAAGGGTATTCGGAAGCAATATTCCTCTGTCGAAGATCGGCCGGTCAATGTAAGCTACGAAATAAAGAAATTCTAGTTCAAAATCAAATCGTTCGTTTTTTGCGGCAGACGTTTGACGCGCGTCTTTCATGCATCTCGCGAGATCTCGCAATTGTACGGAAAATCACCTATTGATCAGTGATTGAACAGCTAAACATGTTAACTTGCAGGACTACTAAAGGCACACGGCGAAAGAGTAGAAGACTTAATAGTGAGTACATGTATGAGTCTTATACTACTGTTGAGTATTTTATTTTCGCTGGAAAGGCTTTTTGGACGTTTTGTATGGAATTTATTTTCACCGATTTTTGATGAGTTAAATGTGAAATATAGAGAAAAAAAGTATATTCGCTGGATTTTATTTTCACGGAATCATCCCTTCAGCGAAAATAGTGAAAATAAATTCCAAGCGAAAATAAAGTATTCTACAGTATGTCTGAAATCAACTACTTGATGTGCTTGTCTGTCTAGATACAGCCACATGATACACCTTGATATTCCTTGCGTTGATATCCCACAAAGTCATATTACTGGTAGATTCTGTCATATTACATGAACATGTGACATATTTGCAGTGTGTGGCTGATGATTGAATGTAACTATTTAATATATTCACCACTGTATCATTTAACAATATAATAATAATAATAATAGTTTATTATGCAACTGTAATCTGCTGTGGATACAGTAAGGTAATTATAGTGTAAATTAAAGCAACTAAAAATAACTACAAATTTAAAAGTTCTAATAACTACAAAAAATCAGAAAGTAATAAAAATACAGTAAATAAAATAAAGGTAAAGGTTCTCCTTACCCAGGGGTTTACACAGGCAATGCTTTGTATATGGTATTTTTAAGATATAGAGACAGAGCAATGTTATTTTCCATAATTTTTAAGAATATTATGTCTTTGTTCTTTTCACTGGAGGTAATTTCACAGTTTTTCAGGAGGATTTTTCTTTCATTTTCAAAATGTGAGCAGCTCAAAAGTAAATGCTCTGATAACTAAGCAATCATTGCTGTATATCATCCAGTCCAGGCTAAATTACTGTGGAATACTTTATTTTCGCTGGAATTAATTTTCGCTAAAAAGGCTTTTTGGGCGTTTTGTATGGAATTTATTTTCACTGATTTTTGATGAGTTTAATGTGAAATATAGGAAAAAAAGTATATTTGCTGGATTTTATTTTCACGGAATCATCCCTTCAGCGAAAATAGCGAAAATAAAGTATTCTACAGTAAATTGGATGATGGGTATCAGCTGTCTGTCTTTTCAAAACATAAAATATAAAAAAAAAAATTAATATTTTTTTTTTTTATTTTTTTTTTTATTATTTACTAATATGAGACATATTTACACAGATTACTCAATTTACATAAAGTAAAAAACACAAATTGGAATTATTGATAACAATCATACTCATTTTAGAAATTATACTTTTTATGAAAAGGCAATGCATGCTGATAACTAAACCTTTTCACCACTAGACTCTCTCGCCCACATTTTTCGGCACTTTTTTCTTTTAATTCTTCAATATTTCTGGAAATGAACCCTAATTTTGGAGCCAAACAGACAAAATTTGAGCCAATTTTCATTTTTTACTCAAAAAAATTTACTATTTTTGTCCTAATCTTCTGAAGGAAAGTGCAGACTATAAACAGGACTATTTTGTGAATTTCTGATGAAAAGAGGTAACTGGTAGTGAAAAGGTTAAGGAAGTTAAGTTACGGCAGACTGTACTGTATGGTAATGCTAAATTATGTGTTTCTTCTACAGACAGTTCTAATAGCAATACTGGAACCACTACAGACCAAGATGAGGAAATATCCAGATCCAGTGCCAGTAGTAGAGAAGCAAGTAAAACTAGTAAGTCAAACAACACTAAATGTTGCCTTCTTGTAACGTACCTGGCTCTCTTGTCTTCAGTTAAGCGCCACCTTCAATTAGGCGCCAGTGCCACAAAAACATCGTATTTTACACCCCAATTAAGCGCCAGACAGAGTTGAAATTTTAGCACTTAATGATCATGAATTTGGTGCCGGCGGATGACTACCGGTTACCGATTAGTAGCGATAGGCCCTTACTGTTGCAAAAAATTTGGTTTTGTTTCTAACAAATTTTGAGTTATCAGTCTATAATCTCTTGAAACATGTCTCTTTGGTCTACTGTAGAAGTAGAAATTATTCGAGTGATTTTTAATTTAGCGAATTTCGTAGTCCATACACACGAAATTAAAACGCGAACTACACAAAAATGTTCTGTTTCAAATGAGCTGTTATCACAGTAAACAGTGTTAAATTATTCTTTAAATGCTCAGTTTACTTCCCAAAAATAACTAATTTCTTGATTTGAAAAAAAAAAATCATGCCGTTTTCCCATCAAAATCAAAGCCAAAAGATCGCAAAAATCAGCAAATCTCTTCCGTGTTGCGTTCATATATTATTAAAATTAGCTATGGTAATTTGATCATGTTGGCATCATCCAGCAGATTGATTGGTTAATTAACGACTTGACCTATCAGGTCAAAGAACAAGTTTCAGGTCAACTCCTACACAGGAAGCATGGCAGACATCGTATCGCATCAATCGTTTACATGCGACCGGAATCATTCGCTTACGATGAAATTAAGTTGAATTTTACTTGCATTTTATTTTTTGTACGTTATTATATTTGCTACTGAGTAATAATCGTAACTGTGGAATGCAGCATGACCGGATTTTGCTACCGTGATCATTTACTACTAAGCGATTCATTTGTGTTTGTTTTATTTTTCTGTTGATCGTACGACAAACTGTGAATGTTTTCTAAAGGATGATAATTTTTGTATAACTTTCTAGACTGTCTGAAAACAAGTCATTTACTCAGTATTTAAGATTAAAGCTACAGTGACTATTAAGCGTCTGACTGTAATGTAAAATATTGCCAATAATATATCACCAGAATGGAGCAAGAACAATGGCTTGAAACAGTTACCGGTACTAGAACTTGAAGTTTTTGAAATAAGCGCCATTTGAAACTTTGTTCTTCTTGATATTGATTGATGTAAATGTTCCTGGAATCAGTGCTCGCAGAAGATCAGGGCTTTGTATCAGGATCATACATACTGGGTTACAGGTGTACATGTATTTCATATTTAGTGGCTGTTTTGGATGAAGTCCAAAGTCAGGGATGATTAATTTACGTCCAAACCCATTTTTCAGACCTGCTTTGACCAATCACATTCAAAATGAACACACCGACCATGTATGATATGGACTTTAATTTTTAACGTCTTGATCAAGAATTGCTAAATTCTGATACTTAAATGTGTCTGGGAAAGTGAAGTTTTTAAAACCAAGTAGTTAAAATGCATCATCACAATTTTGAAAATTTCGAAAATGATGCAGATACAACTACACAGTTTTGGAAATGTTGACTCATCTGAATCTTCATTCTTATTTTTGCTAAAACTTCAATTACAATCTATAGTTTCCTTATTCTAGTATCATTATAAATAAAAAAGTTTAAAAGTACAAGCATTTCATCACTTCCAAGGTTTTAAAATACACCAGATTGCATTTGTGGGTGCCTATGTGCCATATAAAAATACAATTGTGGTGTGGAATGTCAAACAAAATTTTAATATTGTTGTCATTGTGGTTTTGTTGCTAGGTTACCATGTCATTGCACCTGAGCATTCCCAGACATTGCATATAACGTGGGATGACCCTACAGGCAGGTAAGTAACAATATAGCGCCCTCAAATAAAAATATTTCTTGGACCAACATCAATTTACTGACTACTGTATTTGCTCTATTAGTTGCTCAGTCGCTTCACATATAACTGAAGAGTTACTGTGGTCAAAATAAATGATATTGTAATGCTCCAGTCAATGTCAACCCCGACCCCTCTCACCTCGGGCGATGCGGGACAAATGTGGGGCATTAGACAGGGTTTACCGTCAAACCGTGCCCGTGGAGGGGGGAGGAATAGCCGTGTTTCGTGTCCCGTCATCGCTCGCATCGCTAGTACTCTGCTGATAGCAAGCATAGCGGACAGTGGCGATTTGTGGAAGAAATGTGGGGGTTTGTTTTGGGTGGGGATTTGTCTATCCATCTTGCCCCAGAAGATGGGGCATTTCGCAAATTTTACAACAATAATTTCCAAATCCCCCACTAAACCCCGAGGTGGGGAGGGTGGGGGTTGACATTGACTGGAGCATAATGAATCAATAGACAAAAATACACCTCGCTTCTTCACTGGCGAAAAAAAAAAAAAAAAAACATTTTACCACTTAGTTTAGTAAGAAGACAAATTCTTGGCACCTGATTAACGAGAATAAGCGATGAGGATTTGAATTCTAGTCAATGAAGCGGTGAGAATGCAATTGTCGAGAATTTTGCACACTCGCTAATAAAGTGGAGAGATTAACAATAATTCTTGCTGAAGTGTGAGAAAGTGTCAGTTTCTTGCTGTAATTTTGTTTTTACTAATCAGCTTACAGTTATACCATTATAAAAGTTCAATGTTTCATCCAGTCATTTTTATAACTTAAGCTTTTCACCACTAGACCTTGTCACCCAAATTTGTCTGCACTTTTTCCTTATATTCTTCAATATTTCTGAAAAGGTGTCCTAATTTTGGAGCCAGAAGACAAAATTTAAGTAAATTTTCAGTTTTTACTCAAAATTTGGCCAATTTTGTCCCAATTTTCTGAAGGATATTGCAGAATATAAACAGGAATTTGTGATGTAAAGAGGGAACTGGTTTTGAAAAGGTTAAACTAATACAGGTAGATGATACCATAATATTATTGCATTTAGCCTTTCTGCAATTCTGAATCTTGGCCGTTTATGAATCAATTTTGTCTTTGTTAAAACTTAGTTCATACCTTTGTACGAGTCATTTTGTTGTTATATCACTTCTGTTTACAATCTCATCATGAGAACTGCGTCGTTTCCTTTTTATTAGAGAGGAACGACAGAAAATAATGGAAAAATTACAAGGCGGGGTCGTGAATGCAGAACATGATGACAACGAGGAAGATGTCGATGAAGAAGAGGAAGATCACCATGACGATAATCAAGAAGATAACAGTTTGGAAGAACCAACCACACCGGAGGCTCCACCAGTGAGACTACTGCTTACAAAGCCGGCTGTTGCGCTAGCTCCAGAGGAACGTGTTTATAAACCACCAAGGATTTTACTGTCGTCGATGACGCAGCAAGAAAAGATACAATATGGTGCTTTGATAGAAGAGTTAGGGGGTACTGTGAGCGAGACGCAGTACTATGATAGGACATGCACACACGTGGTTGTCGGTAAGTGCCAGAATACAAGCAATTTTCTTGAGATTACTTGTTAGTTCCCATTCACCTTTGTACGTCCATTTGTCAATCCGCATCTGTATCACAGACATGCCTGGGTCAATTTCATTCAAACTTCACGCACACATCACATGTTATATCATACATATGTGCATACATTTGTTTCATGTTCCAAGTTGAGATGACCGATTGGTGGCCATCTCGTAATTTTTGTTTCCAGATTTGAATTAAAATGATGATTTTTTCATGAATGTTGTTTCTGGAGCCATATTGTTGCTTTTGACATTTCGGTAAAAATAACTAAATTAGGTGTCCAGTTCTGTGGTAGTTTTTATTTTTACAACTTTAATATGGTATACCTTGACCAAAAATGTTCTGTTGCACTGAGTGCCTTTGGGATATCTTGAATACAGTGTAACATCCACAAACACAAAACTATTTTTCGATTATTTCCATGCTAAATAACATGCTATACATATTTGATAATAGTCAATTTTGATGAAAAAAGCTAATCTCAATGCCATATTCCTCACTGAAATGCATTTCAACGTTATTATAAAAAAGAGAAATACAAATTTTGTTTTTGTGACAGACATTTGATCCATCTTTTTTACATATAACATAAGTTCTCACAGTGAATGGAAAATCGCCTATCGTAAGATCACAGTAACACGAAGAACTGGTAATCTGGATCAGATGTTTTAATTGTATACTTGTATGTGTTTATTTCAGGCAGTCCCACTCGCAATGAGAAGTACTTGGCAGCATTAGCGTCTGGTAAATGGGTCTTACATAAATCATATCTAGAAGCGTGTAGACAGGCTGAACACTTCATTGACGTGAGTTTACAATTACTGTGACGAGGTGCAAGATATGAGTGTGGTATGCTAGATGTCATGTTAGAAAAGTTGTTGGTTACATCACCCCAGAGGTCTACTAAGATTCCCTTGGCTGATTATTCAGATACTCCCAGCCGTTTACTTACTACGCTGACTCTGTCACGTAATGATGAGACTTGTTGATTACCAATTATTATTATACATCTGTCACCCTAACGTCATAAGTTACAGCGTGCCGTAATTTTGCGGTATTTTATGGAGTATTTTCAGCCTACATTATTAGGAAATGTGAATTCCAAATATGAAACGATTACGTGCGTAAGCGTCCTCTAGTAATAAAAACTAACATGGCAGCCCCCAGGGTTTGACCGTGCTCCATACAAAGAAGTTCGCTGACTCTGTTCTAAAATTTATAGATTTCGGCATTCCCATGATGTATCCTTGGTAGGAAAAGATGTATAATAATAAGGTTATTATGAACATACCTCAAAGTATGCACTCAAACAGTACGCTGTTGCATCGACCTCCGCTGCGCGTTGGTTGATACTGCTGCCGTACTGTCTTTGTGCATACTTTGAGGGATGTTCATAATAACCTTATATTAATGGCAGAAATAAGATAAATAGTTAAAATACCTAGCTCGAAAAATTAGTTTTATTTTCATCAAACCTTCTTAAAAAATATATATGATAAATTCTGCATAGAAAATGGCTTTTTGTGTCCTAGGTCACGTGATTAACACAAACTTGCATAATTGGGTGCTTACACGATACAACCTTCACACGAAAGCCATATCCAGTCAATAATAAATGAATGAAATGAACTGAAATAAATGCTATTCTATTGGTAGGAATACGAGCATGAGTGGGGCAACGCTACTGACCTTAGTAACCGTAACCCACAGACTGTCAAGTTAGCGCTGGCAGCAACACGATGGAGACAAAGACTTGATGAAGACAGAGAGGTAAGATTTGTATTTTTGAATTCTCACTTGTCCATTGAAGACTGTATTCTTGTTATCTTTTCCATTGCATTGTTGAGATCTCAATTATATGTATGATGGTTATTGGAAGAGTCTGGTGGCTTTTGTTAAAATCGTTTGTATCATCGCTGATATAGGGCATGGTAGATGAGAGGAAAATGTCTATCATCATTGTCATCTTTTTTGACTCATTTTGTTGTAAAAGTTTCTTTATGGTTACAATAACTTTATTAAAATAAAGTATTCCACAGTATTATTTTAACTAGTTGGTGTCTTGACCAAGTTGTTTTCAGTATTCAAGTTTAAACTTTTTATTAAACATATATGTATATATTTGTTTAATGATCTTCTATAAGATGACTGATAGTGCCAAAAATGATTCAAAGTTAAGCATTTCTGCTCTACTGGAAATGGATCTTCATTATACATGGATAAATTTTATTTAAACTTGATACATTGAAAATCATGAGACCTTGATTTACATCATTGTTTCAAAACGGCCGACCGGTGGCCGTTTTGCTTTTCAAAAATGCTGGTCTGGTGCTATACATACATGTGTCATGTTGTCGTTGTCGTCACTGAAAATAATAATGACTAGTACATGTAATTGTATTTTTTCACTCTCTTTCTCTTTTAGGCCAGTGATGGCGGTGTTGTTGGAGCATTCAAAGGATGGAAAGTCTTACTGTGTGTAGATGCCAACAGGGAGGCTGGCTTTAAACGCTTACTAGAAGCTGGAGCTGCACAAGTATTATGTTCAAGGTAAAACACAGACATATAATCAGTTATGTCATCAGTGACCCAGATCAAGTACCAATAAAAACACTTACCCTATCACAGTGCCTGTTAACATTAGAAAATAACATGACCTTTCCTCACTTAGAAACAGCAAATCTTGAAGCAGATGGTGGGTTACCTCATCTGATTAAAATGCAAAGTAACTAGGATCTCCTTCTGATTTTAATTCTTGTTTCCAGATAGTCAAAACTGATCCTAAGAGTCGGGTTGGGTCTGCTTGGCAACAGCCAGAAAGAGTGTTACAGCAAGTCTCAGAAGTATTTGGACAGCCAATTTTCAAACTCGGTAGTGAATTGGCTAACTGCTTTGGTTTTGACTGAACAGTTGGCTTTCGAATCGCGCTGGCGCCGACTCGTGGTCGCGTTCACTCTAGGCGAGTCTATATTGCATTAGGGATCATAGTATGCTTTTTACGTAGCCGAAACAAAACGTTCCTTGGCTGGCGAAAATGATCCAAACGATTTGTTGGGGTAACATTAAACCAACCGCTAATAAAATTCGACTTCATTCATTGTTATTGCATGGACAGTCCCTTGTATACGAACACCTCATTACACAAAGAAAATAGAACACTTCCCCTGGTATATTTGAAAGCAAAATCGCCATCCATGTAAAATATGACGACCGTCCCCTACTGTAATTTAGATTCACCCAGAGTGGGCGTGACCACAGGACGGTGCCAGTGAGATTCGAAAGCCGACCATTCAGTCAAAACCAAAGCCAATTCACTGGCGAGTTTGCAAATTGACTGCCCCAATACTTCTGAGACTTGCTGTAAAAAAAAAAAAATAAGTCAATATCCCTAAGTTAACTTTTGTGGCGGATACGTTGATATCGCAAAACTAGGCGTTGGGGTGTTCTTTTCGTCACATTAAACGAACTGATTAAACATGCGGAATTGTTATTGAAACGGACATCGATTGCGTTGTGTTTTCTTGAGTTAAACAGACGTGAGGTATAATTCAAACTTGTTTATTTGTACTCAACATGAACATCAATACGTTGTACAGCAAATACTTCTTGATATAAAATATAGATCGCTAAATAATAGCTTCATGAGGAGTTGACATCGTAGAGAGCATAGAAAGGAGGGTGTGCATAACGAGCATCAAGTTGCGAAGCTACCAAGAAGGAATTACAGCGATGGCCTGAATCGGACTTCTCACAACAGTGCTTTGCCTGGTTAATGTAGTTGTCAACGTTAGAGCGACATTTGTCTTGGTGACAGCTAATCAGAGAAGTGCCAAACACGTGTTTGTACTCTAGAATATATCATGCCAAAACGTTCCGAAAATAAAACAACGCTAATGATTGGCGCATACAAACGAAACGTAACACTGTCATTCCATATTAGGAGTGACACGTGACTACCACGAGGCAGAACTTTGGTGGGAATTTTGGGCGGTAAACAGACAAGTACCGCGAGAACGCAATAGGAAACAATGTAGCGAATGTTTGGATATAGCGTCACGGTTGCTACAGAAACCGATCTAGTCTCTCAGGGCTCAACTCGTGGTTATCAAAACAATGTCTGGAATTACAACCTAACTTAGAGAACATCATAAAGAAAGTGAAATTTTTTCATGTTAGATAACTGCGCGCGACAACTTCAGGCACCATTCACAAAATAGTTCCATTAACATTCTGCTCTTTTTCACATAAAATTTGATTATTTCAAATTATTTGACCTAAAACTAAAAGCAATGTCACATTTTTTTTTTTTGGTCCAAAATTAAGATTGAATTTAGCGAAGATCTAAAGCAAATTTACATTTGACCACTAATAGCCTGCTATCACTTGCATAATAACCCATCCCAAATTAATATCCAAATTAGTATCTGACTGGCCTCTGATGCTATAACAAAACAATACTTCTATCTTGTATGCTGATTGAACAGCTTAATTACTTGTGGCCGACTGGTGGCCGACTGGTGGCCGACTGGTGGCCATTTTGTTTCTTGGTTTCACACATCTGGGGTCATTTCTCAAGTACTGACAAGTGTTGACATGTGAATGTCTTGTTTTTTTTTTGTTTTTTTATCGAAGATTGTTGCTTGAATGCACTACTTTTTGAAACTTTGCATATACATGTATATGTACTGTAAAATCTGTATTAGAAACCGCGGCTTCTATTAAAATGGTACAATCCAATAGAGGGGGTGCGGCTTCTATTAGAGCACCTACACATATGAGAAATGATGATTTTTTGGTTCCCAATTGTTTAAAAAGAATGGGTGCGACTTCTATTAGGGATGCGGCTTCTAATACAGATTTTACGGTAATCTCATTTTCAAACTCACTGAATGTTTGTAATTGAAAAAAAGTTCAACTGAAAATAAGCATGGATTTGAACGTGGACTGCCATGCATGGCTTGTTTGTTTTATGATTTTATGGGTCTATTCATTTACAAACACCCTATGTGTTCTTTTTTACACAGGAACATTAAAGCTTATTATTATTGACCTAAGTAGCCCTAAATTGAAGTAACTACCTCGAAACCACTCAAAGTCATAGCTTTGCCATTGATTTTAGGGGTTCAAATTATCGTTCTATTTTGAGGTCCACTGGGAAGATTAGACTACCATAAAAGTAATACCCATCTTAATATAAAGACTACTTAATAGTGATACATGTAGTACTAAAACAATGTAATTGCCCTATCAGCCACTGATGGCGCTGTCATGTTCAGTATACTTCTACACTTAATTATGCTTTTATTTTTGTATTACAGACCTCCATTTACCAGTTCAGAGCATGCCACGCATGCATTTCTTGATATGGGAAAGATTAGAAAGTCAAAGTTAAATGTAAGTACATTTCTGTCTTGAATCCTCGAGGGGCGGACATCCGGGCATTTTCACCGCCTGGCAACCTTCGCGGTGAAAACAAAGACCAAAAACTCGCAGAAAACGGTACTTTGGGATGACTGTTGAGACTCTTCTGAACAGTGTAACAAGATTAGCCCGACGTGTGTAACATATATAAATTTGGTTGTTCGGTATTACTTCAAAGTTGAGTTTGTGTTGTTTTCTCGAATTTTCACCGGCTCGACCGACGTTCCACAGCAGCGCGCACAGAGCCCATAGAAATGCATGTACAGTGGTGCGCGTCGTAGCAACGTGGAACGTCTTATGACAAAACTCCGCCCTCGAGGATACATTATTTCTGTAAATCATGCCCTCTGGAGTTAGTGTTTCTCTGAATGTCAAACATGACCACTTTCTCGGAAGTAGCGAAACTGGGGTGCAAGAACGACGCGCGTCCGTGTCATGGGGCAAATACAAACATGTCAGTCTGTTGTCAATCGATAAAACAGAATCTCATTTTTGTTGCGTTGATTGGTACACCCGCAAGCGCAATGTCACGCATGCAAGTTTATGTTACACCCCAAAACGGTATGCTCACGTATGCGAAACGCTGTCTGTAGCTTATAAGAATGAAGTCAATGTTAAATTGACCTCGGTGTTTGGCAATGTTGTCATTCGTGATTTAGAATATTGTATTCGTGTCTGCTCCACTGTGGTCTCAATCATCAAATTTTAATGAAGCTTGGTACATAAAAGTTAGTTCTTGGTTATGAAACTTATCCATATTAATTACCTAATTTGCCTCCTACTTGAATTTATTTTCACTTTAGGGATGATTCAGTGAAAATAAATTCAGCAAATATACGGTACCTTTTTTTCCTATATTTTACATTTAACTCATCAAAAATCAGTAAAAAAAACATACAAAGACCCCAAATAAGCATTTATTGGCAAAAATTAAATCCATTAAAAAAAAGTACTGTGAATATACTTTATTTTAGCTTGAATTAATTTTTGCTGAAAAGACTTTTTGGGTGTTTTTCTATGGAATTTATTTCCACTGATTTTTGACAAGTTGAATGTAAAATATAGAAAAAAAGAATATTCGCTTGATTTTATTTTCACTGAATAATTCCTTCAGTGAAAAATAGCAAAAATTAATTCCAAGCGAAAATAAAGCATTTCACAGTCAATTTTCAGGTTATTGAAGTAACTTTTTGTTTGTTTGTTTTTTTTAGATGTTTTTGTGCCCAGTGATAGTTTCAGGCAATGAACATCACTGTTGTCTCTTCTCTGTTTCTTTCATGTGAAAATTACAAGTATGGGTGCTGACATACATACATGTATAGTGCATTTTGTAACTGTTTGTGTTGCTTCCATAGGTGGATATAGCAGGTTTAGTTGACTGTGGTGTGATGTGTCTCAAGGCAGAGTACATTGCAGAGTACTTAATGGTAGATCCTCTACCATCTGCGCATAAATACTACGTAGACGAAGCCAGAGAAATTATCCAAACAACCAATAGGTAAGGTAAGACTATCATTTGATTAAATAGATTGTTCATTTGTTTAATGGTCACCAGAGCGCCCTCTAGTCTCAGGGCGGACATCCGGGCATTTTCACTGCATGGCAACCATCACGGTGAAAACAAAGGCCAAAAACTCACAGAAAACGGAACTTTGGGATGGTTGTTGAGACTTCTCTGAACTGTGTAACAAGATTAGCCCTACGTGTGTTACATATATAAATTTGGTTATTCAGGATTACTTCATAGTGTGTTGTGTTGCTTTCTCGAATTAGCTGTTTTCACCGGCTTTTCGATCGGCGTTCCACAGCAGTGGCACGAGTCTTAGCAACGTGGAACGTCTTGTGATGTAGATCCCCCAGAGTACCAATATGATGCCCCACTGACACAAAAAGATTTGCTTGCTTGTTTTGTCTATTCACTCGTGCATTGTTCATGCAAACGAAAATAATACATTGATATAGTAGTCTTAAAAACCATCTTGCAATTATTTTTAATTTGGTGAAATGAAATTCACATTTTATAAACAAAATTAATGTAAAAACATGACCACAAGATTTGTGTATGTAACTCAAGTCACATACAGTCACATACAACTTTATTTTTTCCCCTAAAAGACCGTCTTTCTCAGCATTCTGACTTATCATGATTTTGAGAATTATCATTTTAATAATAATGATCCTTACAAAATTAGACCTGTAGAGGGCGCTCTTATAAAATCAGTTCTGTTTGAAGGCACACTGATGGTCACATGTTATTTACATCACTGCCGTCATCAAAATTCAACCATGCTGTCAACTTTGATTCTTCAATCTTTATTGAAATATTGTTAAAAAAATTGTTGCCTTGGTAACTTGATCTCCTTCAAATTTTTTGTATTTTTTCTTCTTTATCAGCTCTGAATTCTCAGCAGGTACACCAATAAAAAGAAAAGCAGTGGACGATGAACCAAGTGAGTCAAAGCGAAGCAAACGATATTGAGCAATTATACTTACTGCTTTCGTGCTCCAGTCAAGCCAAAGAATATTCTTCCCAAGTGCAGAAAATAAGCAAGCTGTTTAGTGATTGGTTGAAGGGTTTGATATTTGGGTTGAGTAACCAATCAGAGACATTCTTGTAAAATCAACATATAATGGTGTTGTGAATATGCTTACAATATGATTTACCCATAGCCAATATGATTTAATAATTTATAGGATAATTTATATTTTTTGTCAATGAAGTGGAGAAAATTTCTGTTCCCGCCAATAAAGTGGCAAAAAAAAAAACAATTTCCAAAACTGTGAGAAACCTTTTTCACCAATACTGTAAAATGACTAATTTTCACCGGGTTTAAATTTCGCTGATTTACCATTTCAGGCATATTCAGTGGGTTTTAAATTCATGGTTTTATCATTTAGATAATGTGTTCTATGCTAAATATTTTACATATTCACTGGGTTTTAATTTAGCGCATTTTCCAGTCAGCAAAATAAGCAACATTAAAACCCAGTGAATAACCAACCCCTTTACAGTAGTTCTGGAAAAGGTTCTGTTGAGTACCAGAAAACTGTAAAATACTTTATTTTCACTGGAATTAATTTTCGCTGAAAAGGCATTTTAGGTGTTTTGTATGGAATTTATTTTTACCAATTCTTGACGAGTTGAATGTAAAATATAGGAAAAAAAGTATATTCGCTGAATTTTATTTTCACTGAATCATCCCTTCCGCGAAAATGCGAAAAATAATTTCAAGTGAAAATAAAGTATTTTACAGTACAGTATATGCAGACGATTTTCATCCTACTAGTGACTTTTCAGTGATTCGTTGTGAATCCAAATTATGTGTATAGCCAGAACAAAGCCTCTGGGAAATCATTTCAACTCAACAGTCGCAAAAAATAAATCTGATACTATTTTATGTTTTTTCTTATTTTTTTTGTCTGTCCCATCAAATGAATTCATGAATCACATCATATTATGTCGTACTTTTATGATGTCATTTTAAACAAACTCTATTGGCTGTCAGTCAAAACCAATAAAAATGAAGGATGACTATGATTTTCGGCCACTACTGATGTTTGTTATATTATGAAAAAATAATTATTGAAAGAAAAATAGTTCAAAAAATATGAATTGGTTATATATTTTTGTATATTGGCAATAAAAAGGAAGATTTTCATATTTATTTTTTTTGCAAAAATTTCGTTTGCAATCCCATAATGCAATGGACCTTACTTGCATAAAATGGCCGCCAAAATCTTGTCAAGAGCAAGACTCACATGACTTGTTTTCTGACCTTTAACCTTTTCATCACCAGACTTTCTCGCCCTAATTTTTCTGCACTTTTTTCTTATAATTCTTCAATATATCTGGAAATGAACCCTAATTTTGGAGCCAACACACAAAATTTGAGAAAATTTTCATTTTTTATCTTAAAAAATTGACTATTTTTGTCTCAATAGTCTGAAGGAAAGTGCAAGACTATAAATGGAACTATTTTGTGAATTTTTTTGATAAAAAGAGGGAAGTGGTGGTGAAAAGGTTGAATAGTTTTCCATTCTCTTCCGTCTTATCCATGTAATCATAATATTTAGAACAGTGGATGTTGACAGGAGAGAATGTAACGTTATATGAGAAGTAAAAACGTAAAGATCTCATGATCATTTCTGTCTAGTGCTTTTTGTGAAATTTTAAGAAGATTTCAGTGATCATTATCGTCAAAAGTCTGTTTTGTGAGAATTCATTGAGATCTCGGCGGCCATTTTTGTCTAAGGTCTATTTTGTAAGATTTTAACGTGGTCCAAGTGACCATTCATCTCTGGTGTGTTTTTGTGAGATTTCACAAAGATCTCAGTGATCATTAAAGCGAGGGAGTCGTCTCTTACACATGCGTCAGATGGCCATAGCGTGTCATTGTTTACAAACAAGTCTCTACCCGTGATCCTTTGCATTTTTAGCGTGTGTTGTCATCATCGCGCGTGCGCGCGCAGGCGATGACCCTCCCGCTTTAAGCATGTAAGGTGTATTTATGTAAGTTTTACTGAAGTAGCAGTGTGTTATCGCTTCTGGGATGTACTTAAATATTTTTTACTCAAACAACTAGCCGAGCAATTGGTGCGATAGACATCATGGAATTTTGTTCACTTCATTCTAATCATAACCTGATTGGTTATCTCCCTTGTATTCTGAAATGACAGTGTAATAATACCTGCTGTTTTTTCGTGTTTAGTTATTTTAGATATATACAAATCGTGACTTCTTGTTTGGCGTTCTGTTTACAGTGAATCCATGTTATTTTGAAATCACAATTATATTATAGAAAACAACATTTTGTATTTTGTCAACATCTAATGAAGGTAGTGTCTGTAGGCACTTTCAATTCAATTGACCAATGACATTGCAGCTAAAGTAGCTACAACCAATCAGAAAATGTGTTACTGATTTCTTTTGAGTAAGACTCTCTATAATTGGTTGACTTAAGCTGCTTGTCTGAAAGATTAATCAGATTGAAAAAACTGAGCTACTGTATCTAAGAATATTCCTTAAATTATCTAATATGCAAATCAATTAATTTATCGATATAATATCCTTAAAAACTATCTTTATACATGAGATGTGGTTGTTTGTTGTTGTGATTAATTTCATAACAAATTTGTACTGAATTTAATCATATCTAAATAGATCAATAATACTGCCCTCTAGTGGTCACTCAACTTTTTTTAATATGTTCAGAGTCCAACTAACGTAAATTACACAAATCTGTAGTTGAACACTGCCATTTGTAATGTACGTTTTGTATTTCTCAACTATGTTAAATTTTAAAATTTATCTAGTCATAGCATTTTGCTGGTAAATAAATTTAGCGTTTGTATGTATTCCTTGCTGTTGTTTTTGTTCTTTGGTTTATATTCTCCGGAAAGTACAAATCCAAGCCAATTGTCCTGTATCAGTTCAGTTTTTTTTTTTTTTTGCCAGGCGACAGTTCCGGACATTGAATGTCGCTGTTGTCTCTCCTGATTTTTTTTGTATGTTCAAATTGCAAGTGCTAGTGCTGACACATAGTGCATTTGCCACAGAAGTCATATTCATGTTTGGGACTACATGACAGGGCTGTGCGGCCATCTTCCTATCAAATGGCAATTTGTAATGCACTATCCTGGCGTCAACCCGGCTCGGTCGAACACAAGCATCTGCAGACCTTAACCAAGGTTGCCCCAAAGTCACATTCGTTTGTGAATGAATCTCAACCAGTGGAATTGGCCTTCCCATTGAGTCTGTGGCACACTCACCCAGGGTAGGGGTCCACCCTTTTGATGTTCAGCCTGAGGTAGGATTTGAACTTGAGTCTACCAGCTATGAGTCGGTGAAAGGTTCCAGTAAGTTGACGACATGCTGTTTCTGTTTGTGGTACAAGCTGTCTTATGTTCGAGATACAAGAACTCTACAAATAATAGTGAATTGGTTTGAGGTGATGTTTGGTGAGCCCAAAAATATGATTCTAGTTAGAATTCAAGATTCTAGGCATTAGTGGTATATACAGAGTGGAACATCACAAAGATTCTAGGCATGAGTGGTATATACTGAGTGGAATACCACAAAGATTCTAGGCATTAGTGGTATATACTGAGTGGAACATCACAAAGATTCTAGGCATGAGTGGTATATACAGAGTGAAACATCATAAAGATTCTAGGCATTAGTGGTATATACAGAGTGGAATACCACAAAGATTCTAGGCATTAGTGGTATATACTGAGTGGAACAACACAAAGATTCTAGGCATTAGCGTGTCTTCTTTGCCATCACAAGAACCACCCTGAACTGGCCTTAAATTCAAAGTCGTCATATA